AGACAGCCCTGGATCATGGGCACATGCACACTCTGCATATCAGGGGGGCCTCCAGATGAGAACCAGCAAGGACCCGTGTGGGTTTGCCTCACAGAGCATCGCATTTTACTGCTGGGCTACCATTTGTCTCCTCTTTTATCACTTTTTCTTATTTCTAACTGGACTCTCCAAAATAAGACTGAGTAACAAGAACAAGAGAGCCATCCTCATCTTATTCCTTTTTCTTTTCTTTTTTTTTTTTTTTTTTGGGGTTTTTTCTTAGATGCGTGTTTTGAGGGGTTTTTGCTATAGGGCGTGTGCGCTCGCCAGACAGACAGACAGAGACAGAGAGACAGAAAGTGAGAAATCACCTCCCGGGGGGATGGCCATGCCACAATCCCTTCTTCTCCATTCTCCTCTCGGGATCTTGGGCATGCACGCACACGTGCCCGGCGTGAGTTTTAAGCTCACGGATCCGGGACACGAACCGTGGTCGACTACATGGGAGTCCAGCGACATAGCCATTACACTATCTGCTGGTCCCGTCTTATTCCTAACTTTAAGGAAGATAGTTGTTATGTCATTTGCCATTGCCCCTGATATGTTATTAAATTAAGGAAGTAGTTTAATTCTTATTACATAGTTTTTGTAGATTTGTGGAATATACTTAAGTCATCAGGATTTGTAGCTGATCTATTTCTGAAGAATAAAATTAATGACAAACTACATCTTATATTGGGTTGTCAGAAAAGTCATGACATATTTTTCTATGCAAAAATGCATCATGACTCTTGGGACGACCCAGTATTTTCCCATTATTCAGGGAAGGTGAAGACTAGAGGAAAGGTGAACAGTAATATGAAACTATAAAACATATCGAACATTTGTAGCTTTCAAAATGGTCCTTGGTGATCTTTACCTCTTGACATACATGCCCTTGCTACATTGGTTCATTATCTTCTTAAGGCTACAACTGTAAGCACAGCTTCTGCTTTTCTCTCCCCATCTCTCTCTGCCTCCCAGATCTTGCTTTGGGTAAGCTAGCTATCATGTCATGAGGATATTCAAGATGGCCTATGGAAAGGTCCTTATAGCAAGGAACTGAGGCCTCCTGCCAAAAACCATGTGATTGTACCATCTTGAATAATGGATCCTCCAACTTCAGTTAAGCCTTCCAGAGCCCTGGCTGCCACTTTGATTGTAACTTCATGATAGCCCTTGAGTCAGAGACATTCAACAAGCACCTATTTCCAGACCCACGGAAACTGTGAAATAATCAATATTTGTTGTTTTAAGTTGATACAATTTGGGGCAATCTGGTATGCAGGAACAGATAATGTTGGGTCATTGGAAAAGTTGTGATGTATTTTCTATGCAAAAATATGTTATGACCTTTACAGTAACCCAATACAAAAAGTATCTGGAGAGACAACAGGACAACCATAGGGTTACAACAGCAGCAGCATGAGGATGCCAACTACTTCGGTTTCAAGAACATGGCAGCAATACCTCAAAAACAAATCAGATCTTTTATCAACAAACTCATGTCAGTGAATCTATTTCTCTAAAATAAAAGATTCAAAATAGGATAAAGGTCTTAAAGCGCAAAGATTTTCTTTAATAAAATCACTTATTTAAATTTCTTTCAGAAAAAAATTAAGTAGCTAAGATTGGGAAATAGATAATATACAATGAAAAAAGTATGTTTAGAAAGCTTTAAATGAGAAGGCCAGTATACGTTGGGGTGGTTAAGGTGACTGGATCCCACATGACCAACTGCACAGTTCAAGTTCCATATCCAGTGGCTTGAAAAATACAGTGGGCATGTGTGCATGCATGTCCAAAATAAATAATGGAGAGAGAAATGGAGAAGGGACTGCAAGTCTGATAATTTCCCATGGAAGAGGATGCTTCCTCACTTTTCCCTTCTCTTTATCTCTCTCCAGTGAATGCATGTGCACTCTGGCAAAACTAAACAAAACAAAACAAAAACCACAAAGTTTTAAATGATATATGATAAAAGTACTACTATTATCAAACATTCTGTAATGCATATTATATGCCAGGTACTATCTTGGATCTTGATATTTATTAATTCACTAAATCCCTATAATAATCTTGTGATACTAAGCCGTTCTTATCCCTGTATCTAGATGAAGAAACAGTCAGAGAGTGACTAAAAAAACATGTGCAGGTCACTCAGTTCTAAGTGGGGAAACTGGAATTTGTAGTTGGTAGTCTGACTACATAGCACATGCCATTACCCATTTTGCTATGATGGCTAACAATGCTTAAAATCTAATATTAAGTGAACACTACATATAGCACAACGTGATCACAATTCTATTAAAAAACAGCCAAGAAGGAAAGATTAGTAACAACGTTAATTGTAATTATCTTAGACTAATGGCATACTGGATGATATTTTCTTATTTCCCCTTTCTGACACTTTCCAAATATTTTACAATGAGTACTAATACTTTCATAGTCATAAAAAAAAAATTAGAAGAAAGAAAACAAACTTTAAAAGAGAAAAAACAAAAAAACAAACCAGAGTGACTTCTATAGCTTTGGTAGCCTGGATTACCTACGAAGCCTCTACACAGCAATGAATTGCTCTAGATACCTATCTTTTCCAAGAGAAGAGTTAAACATAATCTTTTTGTGGCGTGCAGAAAATGAGGCTTAGGAAAAAGAACTAGAACTTGATCTGAGCTCCGTGACTTAGAGTCTAACTTCACAACTGATTTACGGAGGGATTAACAGAGAATTCAGAATATAATATTGGCTAACATTTACTGAGCATTTACTCTACACTAGGCATTAAGTCCCTCCCATGGATACTCTCATTTGAGCCTTACAACTATACTCTACACTAGGTACGAACATGATCTCCATTTATAGCTGAGGAAAGTAAGGCTTAGGAGAAGTTAAGTAACTTGCCCAAAGTCCCACAATAGGTATCGCCTTTAGATCCTCCACTATTTCAAGTAAGTAATTTGAAATAAATTGTTATAACCTTTTGGGTCAAAAACTGTTCTCATTAAAAAAAATATGTGAATAAGTTATACAGTGCACAAAGAGTCAATGACCAGGTTGTGATTTAAATGAGGAATTCTATAGTCTCGAAGTCATGACATCTTACTGTTAAGTATGGCAGTCTCATTGCTACTCAAACGACTAGGGTCCTAAGCAGACAGGAAAAGACAGTCCTGCCTCATCCATCAATATCACTAGAATCTAAGAACAGGGATTAACTAAGAATTAAGAAGGAGCTACATGGGTTCCTGACTCCAGGGGTTCCCCAGGGGGATGGGTAGTGGGTGTGGGGTGTACACAAAACAGCAAACAACTTCTCAAAGCTAGGAGTTGTTTTCATGCTGTCTTTTGTAAGAGACTCTGGCCACATTATCTGATGGGAAAAAACACCTTTATCAAAAATGTTTTTGGGGCCAGGCATCCTAAGACTGCCTTAGGGTTAGCTCATTAACTATTGGTCACCACCTGGAGAAGCTAATCCAGACTGTCCCCAGCTTTAGAGTCCTTGGATAAAGAGGGACATCAAAGAAGAAACTGATCACTATTGCGGCTATTTTTTCCCTTACATTATTGTCAATAGATCATTGAAAAAACAAAACAAAACAAAACAAAACAAAAGAGTTATTTCTGTATATGGTTTATTAATCATCCCCTTTCTTATAACTTTATTCAGCTGGGAAAAAAGAAGCATATCTTTATTTATTTTTTTATTTTTAAGAGAGATTTTTGTGGGAACCAGCAGTTAGCGTAATGGCTATGTCGCTGGACTCCCACGTAGTTGACCGCGATTCACGTCCTGGACCCAAGATCCCGAGAGGAGAATGGAGGAGAAGGGATTGCGGTGTGACCATCCCCCCTGGGGGGTGATTTCTTGTTTTCTGTCTCTATGTCTCTCTCTGTCTGTCTGGTGAGTGCACATGCCCTATAGCAAAAACCTCTCCAAAAAGAAAAAAAAAAAAAGAGAGATTTTTGCTGTAGAGTGAGTGTCTATAGGTTTTGTTATAGACAGAGACAGAAAGTGAGACATCACTCCCCAGGGGAGATGGCCACGTCACAATCCCTTCTCCGCCATTCTCCTCTTGGGATTTTGGACAAGCATACACACACTCCGAGCATGAGTTTTAAGCCGTCGGGTCCAGGACTTGAACCGTGGTCAACCACGTGGGAGTCCAGCGGATCTAATCATTACACCATCTACTGCTGTTCCCAAGAAGATTATCTTATCAGTTCAGATCATTTCTGATTTTACTGAATTTCTTTGATCTAATTATTGATATAATAACTATTGTTTAAGTTCTGGATAAGCTTTTACACACTATTATGTTTAGACACAAAGGCACAACTATTCAAATTCAATGAACTTCTGGCTGAACAGCTGTCATTCTTAGGCTATAAAGTAAACTATGAAGTGATATGAAACTTGAATTGGAATCTAAACACACCACAAAATGAACCACTATCTCATGAGCCTTTTCTAGAGTTAAGAAACTAAAGTTGCTTAATAATCTAGTCTGGGGAACCAGCAGTTAGCGTAATGGCTATGTCGCTGGATTCCCACGTAGTCGACCGCGGTTCGTGTCCCGGACCCGGTGGCTTAAAACTCACACCGGGCGCGTGTGCGTGCGTGCCCAAGATCCCGAGAGGAGAATGGAGGAGAAGGGATTGCGGCGTGACCATCCCCCCTGGGGGGTGATTTCTCGCTTTCTGTCTCTATGTCTCTCTCTGTCTGTCTGGCGAGCGCACGCGCCCTACAGTGAAAATCTCTCCAAAAAAAAAAAAAAAAAATCTAGTCTGTTAGAATTAAGATTGATTTTTCCCCCTTTCTTTTTAGCAGCTATTTGAAGCAATCTATAGCCAACTCATATGTACCCGATCAAGAACTATAGGCAAAAATTGCAGTGTAGTCATATGGGTGGACAGAGGTCAGTGAGGGCCAGGACAGCAGGTGGGGAAAGCCACAGAACTCTATGAGGGACACTCACCAGCTATAGCACCAGCTAAGAGCAGGCTTCCTGGGCTGATCTGCCCATCTTCATTTGCAAAGGAAGCCTTCACATGAGCATAGCACGGGAAGTAGATGGCTGAGAAAGGAATGTCCCGCAGAAAGCATGCTTTGGCACCCTGCACATTGGAAAAGGAAGGAACAAAACCACATGAAACACATATCCTATTGAGAAGATCAAGCTTCTTTGGAACTCACCTCAGAACAAAATATTCCTGGAGAAGACCAAATCTGTACTCACAGCTGAAAGGGGAACAGAAAAAAATAGTCCAAATTCTACAAGTAGTAAATCTGAATTTTGTTTTTTAAAATAAAACTAGCTTTGTTGTGTGTTGTGAGAAAGAGGTAGAAAGTTTTCATTGATTCTAATGCTAAGATTGCTAAGATTTCAATTAAAAAAATTTTGGAACTCTGTTTATGACTTTCTTTTAAATCTCTACTGTTAGTGGGCTAGCTGGTGATATGGTGATTAAGGTGGCTGAATCCCACATGGCCAATAGTGTGGTTCAAGTCCTAGACTCAGGGGCTTGAAAGACATGTGCACATGCCCTCTGGTAAAACTACATACAGATATACATACATAAATAGATAGAATTAAATAAAGAGAGTATTACCAAAAAAAACCAAACCAAACAAAATCCCAACTGGTAGCAAGTCAGTGGTGCCTCAAGGAACATAGGTTTTCTGGTGTCAAGAGATAAGGAAAGATGCCTCTTTGTTTATACATCAGGAAGCAGACAAACCATGTGGTGGAAAAAATAGGATTGTGTGTGTGTGTGTGTGTGTGTGTGTGTGTGTGTTGTTTGAGAATCTGGTGTAAGTGTTAGAGTCTTTCCCAGAAAAAATTACACACATAAAAATAATATATCTTTTCAGGTAGGTGGTTCATGAATCCTCTGAATTTACTCATACACTTACCTGCCATGTAGGGTTTATAAAACATTGATAAATGCCTTCTTTAAATCCCTAAACTATTTATAATAATTCTGACACATTTAAGGGCTATGTGTAGGACAACCATGCCCTAGAGCAAGGTCCTCACCAAATAAATTCTGGTGCCAAAATAATGCCATGTTGGAGCCCTGAGAACTGATGGGTATACAGAAATAGGATATGATATTTTGATGAAAACCACCACACATTTATTGCATTTTGGGTAGACTGAATGGAAAGGAAATCACCCCTTTTCAACACTTAATGATTTAATATCATTTCTTTCACAAATTTCTAATACCTAAAAATTTCCATCAAATACTGAGATTCCCCCAAAGGAAATAATGAATCTGCCCGTATTCAAAAGGTCTGGCCACACCCAGTGACATTTATGGAGGTCTGGTAATGCCATGCCTAGGGTATTTTTGTCTGATGCGAGGTTCCAATCTGTCAAAGTTCTTTAACATCACACATCTGTTACTAAAGTCTTTGTTTTTCTGACACCCACATTTTACTCCAGACACAAATTGAGCTTGTGGGCAATAAAACCCTTAGTTTTTAAATGTATGAACTTCTATTAACCCAAGTCTATTGTAACTTAATGGGTTGGCTTACACAAGTAACATAAGCCAGACTTTATGTTTAATCCTATTAAATTCCATCCTAGTTTGGCTCATCCTTCCAACCAGAACAAATGCTTGGAATCTGTATTCTGTCATGTTGGCTACTCCTTCATCAGTTCACCCCTGGCTGTATTAAACATTCTTCTGATTACTTCGCATACAGATACTCAACAAAGGACAGCTCCACCTCCTGTCCTGCCAATCAGCCCATGCTTCTGAATCTCATTCATCCCCCAAATGGTAAATGTCTATCTCAAATTAAGAAAGCAATATCCGCCACATCAAAGCTCCTAATCTTATATAACTGCAAACTGGTGCCGAGGAGAGTTAGCCTATCAAGTGTACATCTACTGAGGGCCATATCCTTGACCTGTTCAAATGACATTTTGGCTCGAAAGACCAGTCCAAAATTCAGGGCTCTAAGAGCTTTTTCTACCTTCCCCAGCTTCTTCAACAGGAAAAGTACAATGTCTACATTCGTGTGTAGCATCCAATACTCTCCTTTAATGACTCGTTCTTTTTTTTTTAAAGTTATAATTTGGACCAGTCACAGTGATGTAGCATTAAGTCATGCTCCAAGATGCTGAGGCCATATGGGAGAGTCTTAGGTTCTATTCCAAGTTCCCCTGTGCACACTAGGTACATGGATATGCCTGTGTTCCTGGCTGGCTGAGGCTGAGAGTTGGATTGCATCGCAGTATGATGACCCTCTTTGGGAGGTGTTTTCTTTTTCTATCTCCCTTCCTATCTTGCTTTCCTCCTCTCTCATGGAAAAAAATAAATTAACGGGAAACTTTATAATTCTGACAGTTGCTATATAAGGGTAACACAATCATCCCATAGTTTCTATTTCCTTTTCCTTTACCCTTCTGGCCTCCAAGCCTTCCTACAAAATTTTGCTAACTGTCAATACCTGTTGACATGTAGATTCTGTCCAGAAGATATTTAAGTTAGATACTAAATAACCAACTAAAATGAAGATGAGTTAAATGTTCATGTCTGGCTTCATCAATTTATAGTAAAAGATACTGCCATGTTATTGACTTTCTAAACAAATTGCTTTGGAGTTTGTTTTAGATTTTTGCTATAGGGTGTGTGCACTCGCCAGAAAGACAGAGAGAGATAGACAGACAGAAAGCGAGAAATCACCCCCCAGGGAGCCAGCAGGTGGCACGGTGGTTGAGGCGCTGGACTCGCACATGGCCGGCCACCGTTTGGGTCCCAGACCTGATGGCTTGCTTTCTTGCTTTCCCTATTTCTCTCTCACTCTCTGGTCAAATTAAAAAGATAAAAAGAATAAATTAAAATGAATAAATTATTTAAAAGGAAAAAACAAAAGAAAAAAGCTCCCAAAAGGAATGGCCATGTTATAACCCCTTCTCTTCCATTCTCCTACCAGGATTTTGGGCACACACACACACACACACACACACACACACACACACACACTATGTGATTTTCAAGCTGGTGAGTCTGGGATTGAAACTGCAGTCAACCATGTGGCAATCCTGTGCCTTAACCACCACATCACCTGCTGGCTCTGGAGTACATTCTTAGGCTGGTATAATCCTCCTCACAAATTTTGCTTCTTACTGTATCTGTTAGTTTTATTTTTTAACCTTATGTCCCAATATTTGTGTCTTATAGCTGAGCTTCAGTTTGTGATCTTATTTACTTGCTTTGTGCTCATAATATTTTTCCCTTCTCATTTTTTTCCTGTGATTATAAAATATTAAGTGCTTATCATAGAAAACATTGAAAAGTATTAAAATTTTTAATTGCTTATATTCTTCACCAGTTAGCAGTAGCCACTGCAAGGACTGTAAATGTTTTGGAGTATTTCAGTCAACAAATATTAACAACCATTCTGTAGTTGAGACTATGCTTGAGTGGTTCTGGGTTATGTCTTTTCTTCTCCTTAAATTCACCATGTATGGTTTTTGTTTTGTTTTGTTTAACCAGGTATGATCTAATATCACCTTCATTCTTTCACTATGTTGCCTAAATTTCCTATTTGTTGTGTCAAAAACTCTACTGCCATCTTTGGTTTTGGCTATCCTGCACACTAGTTCCAATTTTCTCACCTTGTCAAAGCTTTGTAAGGACTTTATTTTCTTAGTTTCCTCTGTTTAGTCAGCTTGATGCCTCACAGGTAAAGCTACTCAATGCCCCATTCATTTGATCGATTAAGGTACACCTATCACTCTGCATCTTCTTTGATGACCGCTAAGCTGAAAACATCAAGCTTTTAAATACCACCTCGTCATTCATTTAAACTCCAGATACCGCCCTCTCCACTGAAGATCCTTTAACTAGAAGACAGACGTGGAGTAGATTCCACATGGCTCCATGCTGTCTACACTTTCTTAATACTGTTGTGAGTTTCCTCCATGCCCTTGTATCTGCCTATGTCAGCATTGCTTATTTCAGATTGTAAGCAAGCAGAGGCCAGGAGCTACTGTCCAATTTAATTTATATAACATTTGGCAATATCTTTGGCTGTCAGGGCCTAAGCCATGTTCCTGATGCCATGAATTTTGTTTTGCCAATTGGCATAGAAAAAAACACAAGCAGAAAGAGAAATAAGAGACTTTGAGATATGTTGTCAGGTTTCTATAAGAACAAATGTATTGGAAATCGAATCAAGCTTTTAGCTTTTCAAACAAAATCAAGATCAAGCTTTTAGCTTTTCAAACAAAGATACATTATTGTTGGGGATACAAAATAAAAACTTAGGAGAAATTAGTCAATAGTTTTGTACTGGAATATGAGATGGAGAAAGAGGAAGACAGAGATTAGCATATCTTATGCTATGTGGCTCCAATATGATCAGAAAGCCACAGAATGCATGACTGGAAATTAGAAATGCCCATGAACTATAAGAAAGATCGGGACACATGAAGAATCCTCTGGATCTGTCCAAGAAGGAATATTCCAGTATCAGAGCCTTCCCTTCCTTTTCTGAAATCATGAGGGTAAATCACCTACCCCATCTTCCCTAGGAAGAGGAGTCATGCACTTCAAGAGATGTTGCATAACAATTTACATGGCAGAGAAGAAAAAATAGCTTGATACAAAAATAAACAAGAGCTAGCTCCACAGTGCAACAGTTAAACGCTGTGCAGAGAAAGTGGGATCCCACATGGCTGACGAGAGTTTGAGCCTTGGTCCCACTGGCTTGAAAAACATCCTAAGCAAATGTCCCCACAACCTTGATGGGATGGAGAATTGAAGGAAAAAGGATTGTAGCATGAGAAAGCCCAGTGTGTGGGGGAGTGCTTTCTCTCTTATCTTCTCTTTTACGTGTACACATGCCATCTGGCATTAAAACAAATGCAAAAGAACATGAATGAGGAAACGGGAGAACTGCACCATGTAGCACTAAAAGGAAATGACAGAGAATATGTTGCACTTTTCCTTCCAGGCATCAGGCAATAAGGTCCAATGATTCACACAAACTAGAAAAATGTTAGGATATGTCAGAAGTCTCAGATTTCTGACTGATCACCTAGGGAAAATGAAGAAATGGAAAAGTCGACAAAGAAGAACTTAAAGGTCAACTA